AAGAAATTATAAAAAATAAAGGTAAACTTATTCCTCGCTGGAATCGTGGAGCCGGAATGACGCCGATTCGTGGAAGTCTTCGGAAATCCAATTGACTGATGTGTCTTCTCTTCTCTCGATGAAATAAAAAGTAAGCATGGGGACATGAAATGTCGGCACAATGTTCGAAACTGGTTGGCAAGGCTGCCCAGATTGCAAAAGAGATAAGGTATAGCATTAAAGTGCTGGGAATCTGCAAAAGCAGATTGAACGGAAGTGGACTTTCCAAACTATCAATTGGAGAGTCAATAATCTACTCCGATTTTATTACCCAGACAACAACCACAATCACACTGAGTTACGGAGTGGTTATCATGATGCCCTCAAGAGCACCGATGGCTCTCATGCAGTGCAAACCAATCTTCTCCTCCAGGATCATGACAGCAACATTCAACTCAAAAAGAAAGAAAAATCATAATCACACAATGCTACGCCACGCGCCTACAAATAATGCAGATCAAGAGAAGAAGGAGGAATTCTATACACAACTGCAATCAGTACTCGACAAGACCTCACCCCAGTTGGTGACATCAGAATTCATTATAATGGGTGGGATGACATGAATGCCAAACTCGGTAAGGAAAACACAGGAAGAGAACTTATCATGGTTCGAGAAGCACTCAGTGAAATGAAGAATGAGAATGGAGAACTGTTCGCAGACATCTGCGCACTCAACGATTTGGTGACTGGAGGTGAGGCAGTGTGTACAAACACAAGGATATTCACAAGGCAGTAACATCGATTTGATTTCACCAGACACCACAGCACACTACACTAAACATCAGGTCCACTTCATCTCAATCTCGATAAAGTGGAGACGCAGCTTACTGGAAACGAGATCACATCAAGAAGGGTAGCAGACGAAGGTGGTTCACACCACTCAGTATCTAGTGCAAGGAACCTACCTTCAAAATCAAGTTGAAAGCCTCCGATTCAAGGAAGTTGGTGATGGACCACAGTTCAAGTTCAACACCCGAAACAGGAACTGAAGGATGAAAGTAAAAAGGACATCTTTACGTCAGTCAGTCAGTCATCAGGAGAAAATGGGAGACATTAAGCAACATCCTTGAAGAATCCTGCGTCGAAGAGCATTGGAACTCTTTGAAAGAGACGTGGGAGGAAACCTGCATAACCGTGTTCGAAAGGAAGAAGAAACAGGACAATGAATGGATCTCGATGGTCACATGGAAGCTGATAGAGGATGAAGAGGAAGATGGTGAAGCCGAAGATAAACCAGTGCAGTGCAGAGATGAACAACGAAAAGAGGAACTGAACACAACCTATAAAACACTACAGTGGACAAACGAGTGAAGAAAAGTGCGCGAAAAGACGAAAGACACTTCTATGACACACTGGCAAGTGAAAGAGAACAGGCTGCAGGTAGAAGAGACCTGACAATACTGTACCAAATAACCACGTTACTATATGGAAAGAGATCAACATAGATGAAACCAATGAAAGATAGTGTAGGAAGCTTAGTTAACATTAAAGAGGACAGACAAAGGAAACAATAGGCTGACCACTTCAAAAAACTCTTGATTCGACTACCACCACCATCTGCAACTCGTACAGAAATACCACAAGTAGCCCAGCCACAGAACTACCAGTGAACACAAGCCCTTCGACAAAAGCCGAAGTCTTGAACGCCATCAAGTTGCTGAAATCCGGGAAAGCAGTAGCACCAGATGGAATTCCTCCAGCAGCACTGAAAGCAGACACCGAGACAACAGCGGACATGCTCACACCACTATTACAGAAGGTTTGCAAGTAAGAAAGGAAGAAAAGATATCTGCCAATTGATTGAAAGAGGGGTTACCTTGTCAAACTCTCAAAAAGTGTGAGCTGTGTCTTTGCAAGAACTGGCGTGGAATCATTCTTCTGTCCACCCCAAGCGAAATATTAAGCCGCACCATCCAGGAGAGACTATAAAATGCTCTGAATTTAAAATAACGACCGGAACATGCTGCCTGGTTTCAGGAAAAATAAATCATGTGCGGATCAAATTGCAACGCTACACAACGCATCATTATAAAACAGAGAATAGAATGGCAGTCAACACTTTATCCAACCTCAACTTCATCGGTTTTGAAAGGGTCTTCGACAGCGTCAATCAACAAGCAATTTGGCAGGCAGCTGCTGCAACACTACGGAGTACCACGAACCTTTATCAATCTCAGTCAACAATTATATGACGACGCCATATGTCAGTGGTTCACAATGGAAAGCTCAAAAACCCCTCTAAGGTGAAGAAAGGAGTAAGATAATGTGACCTACTGTCACCAATGATCTTCCTTATTGTGGTCGACTGCATCATGCAGCAAACTGTGAGGAGCGAGAAGATGGGCATACGCTAGTTGGACCAATGAAAAGACCCCATAAGAAGATTTGAATTTCGCCGAGGATGGTTTTTGTCCAATATTTTGTCGCACAAACTCGAAGATCTACAGCCAAAAACCAACAAGTTGACAGAAGAGTTAGCGAAGACTGGACTTCAGGTCAACATGGAGCAGATAAAGGTGATTAAGATACCCAACCAACAACAACAAGCACTGGTCACCACCAACGAGAGAAACCTAAAAGGAGTTGTCTCTTTCACCCAGCCACCTAGGCAGCATCGTTTCAACTACAGGCGGCACAGGCACAGATGAGGATATTAAAGCCAGGATCGGAAAGACAGCAAGCAGACCTTCATTAACCTGAAGTCAGGGTGAAGATCTACCGCACTCAACATAAAGAACAAGATTCGGATTTTCAACACTAATTCAGTCAAGTCAGTGCTTCTATGTGGTTCAGAAACTTGGCACTTTAAGAAAAGCATTCCCAACAAATTACAGACATACATCATCAACACCTGCCACCTGCGCCCACTCAATGCTGAAGAACAGATTAGATGGTCAGAATAATAAGAATAAGAGACAAGCAACTCTGGCTGGTAACGAACCAACCAAGTACCTATCGTCCAATAAATGTGTCGAAGAAAGTGGAGATGGATTGGGCATACACTAAGAAGACCACTCGGGGACATCGAACGCCAAGCCGGGGCCTCGAGTAGAACCCTAAGAGAGAACGACGAGCTGTGCGTCCGATGTGAAGGTGATATGGAGATCATCTGGGAAGAAATGAAAGCTTCGGAGGAGTCGTGGAGCGAGGTTCAGAAGATTTCACAGAACAGAGGGAAATGAAGACGTGCTACTGAAGCCCTATGTTGCACTAGGAGCCCAAGGGACAAATAATAATAATAATAATAATAATAATAATAATATATAAACGTAGTGCTGAGCTAAAATCCACCAAAAGGGTGCCATTTGAGGTGGTTAATAATTGTTGATTGCGTTAGTGTTGCGAACAGTCGTATGAAGATCATACCGAAAGAGTTGCGACAAATGCGATTTGAAACAACGTAGCTGCTAAAAGTGGATATTTGCAAACCGAGCTACTCGATGTTGAAGTCAGTTGTTTGGCTAGAAGATGAACGTTTCCGCAAAAACAAACTCAAAGACCATATAATAAGTAACTAAAGCACCAGATGAAAGCAACTGGACAGTCAATAAAACCTTCCTCCTCAGCGCAGTGTTTAATAACGATTGGGTACGGTGAACAGGAAATGCTTTGAATACAACAGGAGATAAAAACGATTGAAAACGCCTTTGATCAAAGCTGTTTATAAGCTTATTTAGAGAAAATATATGAGTCAGGTACGATATACATAACTGCATACACAGATGTGTCTGCACACCTGAGGAAAAAGCACAACATATAGATGAGCAATCGAAGTTATGCACAGTATTTCAGATAACCGTTTATTTGAAGCCAGAATCTAAAATATTCCGGAAAGCGTGCATATTTTAGGTAATAATCAAGTAGATCAGGTTCATCCTTTTCTCGATACAGTTCAAATAACCACAAACAAACATGCGATACATAAAAAGTGAGCCTGTACTATGCTACCTTTCAAGACGGCGAAAAAATGAAAAAAATAATGTATTCAAATCCAGAAGAAAAAATAAACGAAAAATCAAGACATCACATCGTCCAGTGTGTCACAAGGAACAATTCTAGATCAGTTACTGTTTTCACACTTTGTGAATAACGTCTTGTCCAGTCCTAGCCTCGAGATGCTGCTACATACCAACTATGTTAAGTAATTTAGAGTTGAGGCCTCTGAAAGGGACTCGAGTGCACTACAAAGTGACCTCAGAATGCTCGAAAGGTAGATGAAAACAAGTAACTGGTATTTAATTCAGACAAATATCTGGCCATGCTTTTCTGAACTCTCGACTAGCAGAAAGCACTCTAAACCCCTGTGATACCTATCTTCCTAACACAATCATCGAGAAAGACTTAGGGTAGACTGATTGAAAAACTAGACATTATTTCAAATTATGTGGGATGTAAACTTCAGAGCCTTTAAAGCCTACACACTTGCACCAACTCACGCAAGAAGAGATACAAACTTCTTGTTCGGAGGTGCCTTTCAGGTGTTGCTGCAATGCAACTAGAAAGCGCTAACTGATGAAGCATCCATCGCCCCATCTATAGACAGCTTCAAGAGAAATTTGAACAGCTACTTAGAAATACACAGCTTGCACTCATAACAGGAAGATTCCGAATTAACAGGTCCTTAATCAGCTGGAAGCTAATCAATACTAAACACACTTCAGGTACACAATAAACAAAGCAGCCTGTGCAACTGTATGTAGAGATAGTAACTTGACTATGAAATCGTACCTCCAATGTTATCGAAATGCGTTGTTTGAAGTGGACTGAATTTGAAACTAATGTCTGATTATTAGCTGTACATTTTCAGTTTCATAATGCAATTTGACTGTCAAATAAAAAGACTAGCTCACCACTACTGTGCTTATTTATGATGGAGAAAAAAATTTAACTGTACAGATTCACGAGTTCTGACTCAAAGTTATTTTATTCACACTACTCATGAGTGAATAAAAAGAATTTACCTTAGAAGAGCGCACGGATTAATACGTTGGTTGAAACGTTGGTAAAAAATGAGGTGATCATCTGATGCACTTAAACACATCTGGCATTCTCATTCATCAGAATGCCTTATGAAATGTCAAGCAGTAAGCGTAAATTCACGGTACCGAAACGTAGTCAAGAAAAAGGGATTCATTTAGCCATGCAACTAGTCGTCTCTAATCTAATATCCAGCATTGACCATGCGAATCAGGCTTTCTTAGCTGCAAAAAGTTGCGCAACCTATGTAATGAATCCACCACTAACGTCCGGTAACGAAGCGGAGTTCCGGGACTCCGTTGTAAAATCGACAAATGAAAAGATTTCCTCCAATCGACAGAATAAGGAAATCTCCGGTTTGTGACATCATGCCGGTGGTTCTACAGAATTTCGCCGGTGTGTTAGGCATATCTGTGATCTGTTCGCCTCCCTATTGAAAGTAATTGAACAAAAGAGACTAAAAAACCCATACGAACTTAGACCAATAGCTTTACTTCCAGTACTATCCAAGGTGCTGGAAGGCATGGCTTCAGATGTTGTTTGTGACTAACTGAACGGAGACACTATTGTCTATCCACCCAATAAAGCTTCGTAACTAAATGGTCATTCGCCATGAACTTGAAGGGTGTTCAGTGTGACTGGACCAGTAGATGAAACAAGAAGCGACGGTTTACATTATATTTCCAATCTTCACCGAAGGCTTTCATAGCGCCCCAAACCATACCACGTTTGCTAAACTTGCCAAACTGAGTCGTACGTAGCACGGTTCACAGAACATCTGGAGAACGGGGGCTTCTGTTCTGATCTAAGCAGAATTCGTTCAGCCCGGAAGACTCCAAGAACAGAAGTCTTTTAGGAGCCATCCTTTAGAGGCTCTCACTTTCACTATTGATAAATGACATATACATTCAAGCCCACCCTTCGATCCTCCCTGTTGCCGGCGACATCAAACTATGGACTCCCAAGGAAGGCAGCCTCAAGCCCCAACTCCTAAACTATACCTCATAGTATTTAAAAACTATGTCGTACCACACCCAAGGGTGTTTAGAACAATAGGCCGCCTTTATAAAAAAACAGATGCTATTAGTCTCTAGAAGGTGTGTTGAGGGTTGACAAGGTCAGTGTCCGGACCAGCAGGGAAAGCAGACGAGCGACGTCTTAGACAACTCACTCTGTCCAACCTAAGCTATCTAAAGAGGGAGCAACCTAATAGAGGCCTAAGGGATCATCCATGAAGCTAGTTGCCTAAATTGGGCAACGCCATCGGTCGGAAAATGGCCTCGTGAGAATCCCACCTGCATACCTCACCAGAGAAAAAACAAGAGTAGAATCTCCCCACAAAGAGTGTGTGCCTTATGGAAAGCTCTGCAGAAAGGAATGGTCATAGCTACACCAGTCGACCCCCTCAAACGACTGCTGGATAAGTACATGAGCGCAGATGATGTACAACAAACATTCGTCTATAGCAACTGAAGATATGCTCACCAACCCTCTGTGTTCCCCAGCCTTAGCATCTGCAATAAAACCCATCCCCTCTCTATATTATTATCAGCAGCACTCGTTTTTCCATGAGTACTTCCCCCCCCCCTCTTTCTCGTTCCTCAATCACCTTATTTATGGCACTTTTTAGGTAACACCCGCTACTTACTCGCAGGTGCTTGCAAAAACAAGAACTGCAAGAGGTCGACCGGACTTAACAAAAGCTCCATTGCCCATCCAAACAAACCAATCAACAGTTTGCGAAAGTAAACCTTCAACTCGACGATCGATATCTCCAAAGTCACAAGCAGGAAAGCCGTAAAGACTTCTGAGGCCGTCGAAGGATAGTAACCGAAGAAAATTAATCAAGCCTCAAGATTTGTAACTGAGACCTCAAAAACTACAAGTTCTCCCCACTCGGACTGTTAATGCTGGGTGCAACCATAGAGTGAACGCTGACTAAGCCGACCTGAAAGGGATAAAATTTGCAAGTCTTACTTCGAAAAACGTTAGTCTGCAGTGCGGTACGAACACTCCCGGGGAGCGAACCACTCGTCAGAGAAAACGACTGGGTTAAGGACATGAATTCTACAATGTCATCGTCTAAAACAGTGTTGTCACGGAAGAAGATATACCTAATATGATTGCTCAACCACTGTAGGAGTGGGCCTGGGTTATTTCGCATCAAGATTCCATGTGTGATAGCCACATGTCAATCGAGTTAACCTGAACATGTAGGAGTGCACAGCGCTTAGCTACGAATCTTTTCGAATTCAACTAGAGGAAACATTTTTTAGGCGAACTGCCATGTTACGGATGTTACTAGGACGTAAGGCGGTGGGTCCTATCGTCCTGGAGAGCTAAAAACCTTGGATGTCAGTTTTCTCCGACATGAGATTTTTGCGTACTGTTAGCTTAAAGGATGCACTGCTTTCACTCATCCAAACGCTGGTTTCCATGGGTTACAGACTTTCTACAGCAAGTCAAATCTTCCTTGATTCTCCGAAGCGCACAAAATATTATCAGTTTCAGCGACCGGTGCCCGTGTTACACAAACTCTTCTCCCCATCATGCGCCAAAGTCCACAAAAGGGACACTGAAGAAAGGAAACACCCTCTATCACAGGATTTTCAATGAGCACATGATTCGACTACCAGTAAGAGAATAGATGTCATGAACCAACGTGTCGAAATTAGGTCAGTTGGTAGCAACCTGGGAGGAAATAACTTGTAAAATGTTCCTGCTGAGGCGGCTTCTATTAATGATTTCCACCTGCCTCAGACAAGCAACCGAAAAACTTTAAGGTTTCGCCACGAGTTAAAAAGTTCCGTGGAATTCTCATAGGTTGCTGTTCACTCTGCCAGAAAATGAATGTGACCGAAATGGTGGCTGGAGCGCGAGATGAGCCGATGTTGTCCCTCGGGCCCACTTAGGATGCAGTGATGAAACCAGAACTTGGGTTGAACTTCACAATACGGGTACTGTGAGGAAGACTGGGGGTGAAGTATGGTTTTCGATAAAACTGATGGAAATAAGATGGGCCCCTTAAACAATACTCCCTGAATCAATCATTTCACCAAAATCTGACATTCCCTTAACTTGGTAGAGGGAGTTGGAAAGTAATAAACACATAACCAGTGGTTACTCGAAACACGAGAATCAGTCAGTCCGTGGTTGTGCCGTTATTCAATTAGTGATATATTTGAGCCTATGAGATAGTGTAAAGGATGTTGAAAAACCGACGATTTCATGTTTTCTTTGGACGTGACCCACCTTCTATCAGCATAGCGCTTACTGTTACATATGTGATTTCGTCAACTTATCCTGTTCAGAAACAGGGGTTTCGACATACTACCTAGAGGGGTCCTTGAAGGCATGTATTCCTGGCGCACAATTTAATCCACTGAGGAAGTATGGCGGCAACGTTGTGAGATTGTAAAGGGATCCCCATTCGAACCTCTAATATTGATTAGCGTCACGTCGAAATTGGAAAATTCTGATCTCAGCGGAACTATCGTTCACTCTCCTGTCCAACAGACACATGAATGATGGGTTCGTCATTTGTGACACGAATATCCATTCGAATGACATCCTACAGGGGTTTAATACTTGTTTCAGCTTTGGAATTCACAAAGGAGACAGGGTCGGAATCAGCTAAGCATTTCTTTGGAGCGCTAATAATCAGACGCAGCAGCAGAACACCGAAACCAACTAGTGAGTGAATAGGTGTTTTATCCCCACGTTATGAATTAAGCAAGATAGAAGCCGATTTAAAAGCATCATCAAACTGATTACGTCGGGAAATTCACCGGCCCACCAACAGAAACCAACGAGGAACAGACAATTTGCCGACTCCCACGGTTGCGCGCCCATCGCGAGGAAAACAATCTTCATTCACTTACCGTACTAGCGACTACGAAATCCTTGTAGCGCGCGTTGTTTGCCAGTTGAACTTTAGTTTTGGGGAACCACCCTTGTGGAGAACGTACATCATGGCCTATTGATTGAGAAAAAAGTGCGAAATTCATCAACTCATTTTCTAAAACTACATCTTCCATTAGTCTGGAATTGGGGAATGAATAAACATCACATTCTGAAAAATCTTCATTCGAGACCAATTAGTAGGACTTTCAGATGGAGGCCTACCATGAGCTGTGATTCAGAAAGCTTTCCTTATATGCCGTAGCGCTTGTTGCAAGTTGTCGCTTCCTGTGAAAATGGGCATTTCCCGTGTTCTAAGTGTATGCTTAACCCAACTGTTTGGTTTTGTAACACTGTCTACCACTGCTTTACGTTTTGAACCATTCATTCGTACACAAGGCATTGACCGCTACATCACTTCTTAGGTGGTTAGAAAAAAGTTTGCTAATAGTAAACGACAGGAGTCAAAGTGAGCTAAACGAGGCTTCAAGTTGTTGCAAAGATGCATACTATCACACTTTTTGATCCAGGCCACATAATCGTCGGGAAAAGGTTGTGAAAATATCACAGGATATTGGATATATTTGCTAGTGCGACCCTGAAATTAGTGTCGTGTTGGTTAATGATGCGGTTAATAACAAAAATAATATTGGTAGTTTGTTCTTGCAAATGTGAGTGCATTCCGGTGTAAAGGGATATCCTCCAATAAACAACACAATGTGTAAATGAAATGAAACGTCTCAGACTGGAAACAAAGTATCAAGTTCCGGTGTTCAAAGGCTTTAGCAGAATATCGAGTTCCTTATGGAAATACTTCCAGGAAGGTTGGAAAGGATAGGAGTCCCAAATCATGTTTGCTGCATATGCTGCCAGTCTCGACGACTGGAAATTAGGTTGGGTACAGTGAGACCGGTATGGCGAGAATTCATTATGAACAGTGATTGAAGCTTACAAATGTGTGTTTTTAGCTAATGAGGACAAAGGTTGTTCGGTGACTATAAACGCATTCAGTGTGCGCGAGGTCGCCACACCTTGCATTCCAAATAGAGATGTCTGTGCCGTTTTACGCTGGCCAAGGATTGGTGTAGAAGTTGAATGCCGATAGGACCATGGTCCCGGAAGAAG